GGACAAATGAAAAGACCAGATCCATGTATACAAGAAAAATACTGTAAATAGTTAATACTGAATTTCATAAAAACTAGTTTAACGGAACTATTTAGGTATATATTTTTTCTAATTCTTATTGTTATGTAGTTTTCAAATTCTTTAAAGGTAATTCTGATGGATTTGAGAGAAAGATCATAGAAAGAAGTTGGATTATTTAAGTAAATAACCGGCTAGCATGAGCTACACTTTTTCTTTTTGCATTATTATTAATGACATATTTGTATACAAATTGTTTTCTGTTGTGAGTATAAAAACAACATATATATTCTTTTATGTTTGGTCACATTTTCAAAGAGCCACTGCAGAGGGTCCAAAGTGCCACAGGTTGCAGACTCCTGGTTTAAGACAACACAAAGATGCTGTGCCTGAGGACTGAAGAGGTGAAGGTAACATAGATGAGTAACTTCCAGTAAGTTCCTCACTTGTAACGGCTCCTTGTTAGTATAGTAGTGAGTAACTCCACATGTCACACAATTTTATTTCCTAATGGGAATATGTTTTATTACTATGATGTCATTCCTGTTTATTGCCCCACCGTAAATAAAGGGGATTTTGGACCCTGTGCATTATAGATGGCTGCAGTCAACAGTACTTCTGTGCTTGCACAGGTAGATGAACATTAACAACGGCATGTTTGATCTGAATCAAACCAAAATAATGAAGTTTTCTGTTTACTCAGAACACAACTCCAACAAATCATGTTACAGTCCTGTAATCAGCTGCATTTGAAACTTTGCCAATGCCACCAAAAAGTAAATAAATGATGCCTTTAGAGTAAAGTGTCTAAGAGTCAAGAGATTAAATAGTGTAAACAACTATCCTATATAAATATATAAAATTAAATAAGCACATTTCAAACTTTTTAACAAGACAAATTTAGAGTTTGACAAACACCACCAGCAGGGGGGTTGTAACAAGTCTGTGAGGATGACGATGCTGATAATGATGATGATGTAAGTGTTCCTCAGTTAAAGTGTTGGGCATGATTGTCTTTAACCCTAACCCCTGTGGTTCATTTTAAATGATGAGAGTAAGTATGTGCTGGATCAATACAGAGATATGGAGGATAATAAGGGAGCCTGGCTACATGTGGATCCCATTGTGAAAACAGCAAAAATGGCCATTCAGTTGCCATGACAACTGTGATTATATTGTGTTTAACTACATTCAGTACAGGACGCCTCTTAGAAAGCAGGTACATCTTTTATTTACTCTCCTTTTTTTCAGCTGAGTCTGAGTTATTCCAATTTGATACCTAATTTACCTAAAAAGATGCCCTTTATTTTCTTAAAATAAATCAGATTTTCTTTTCTGTGTACCCAAAGAGAGGAAAATACCTGCTCATCTGAACACTGTGTTCAAAAACATTTTATTCTCCGTCTCAGCCCTTCCTCAGCATGTATCTTTTTCTTCAGACTCTTTTTCTTTTCTGTCTCCAGAGATACGAGCAGTGAACATGCTGCAGCAGCTCATTTAAAAGAAAACATCTGTATAAAGGTCAAAAGAAGGTTTTCTGATGGAATTTTCAATAGTGAAGAAAATAACCTGGGATGTTTAACTGAGCTGCATCACATTAGGCTCTTGTCAGCAAAATGGATTTAGTGCCACTGAGGAAAAAAAAGTGTAATGTCTCAGCTTTAGTGTTGATCATTATTAAAGAACAAGCTGAACTTGCGGCTGAATAACAGATGGAGCAAATGTTTAAAAGATGACACATGATCTCTTTGTTGTTTCCTGTTGTTGTTGGTTTTTTTCTGGAAAAATCCCACAAATTTCTTGCAATTTTATTGTCATTTTACCTCCTCAGTCATCATCCATTCTGTGATGTTTTCTACCAGTTCTTGTTAGATATACTACATTTGTTGTTTAAGTGTTCTTGATCCTTATCTTGCCTTTGCTTCAGTTTTGATATTTGTTTACAAGTTTTGTGTGTGATTCTTTTTTGTTTTTTTTCTTTATTTCCAACGCATATGTGTGAAGTTTGGCTCACCCAGAGGTGTCAAAAGAATTCACATTCATTAGATCATAAGGCTTAAAAAACATTTTTTAGAAGTAGAACTCAAACTTTTATTATCAAGTAAAAGTATAGAT